CAATCTTTGGCTATGTCTTGGGCTACTCAAATATTTTACGTTTTTGATACTAAATTAACTTCTGAAGTATAATTTTTTATTGTTTTTATATTTTTCAATATATTTATTTTGTTTGTACAAAATAAAAAAATAATTTTTAACGATACAATAGTCTTCGTTAGGCTTAACAGTGATGAAAATTCAATGCAAAGCAACATGCAATGGAGAAAAATTTCAACACGGGATAGGTTAATATATTTTTTCGTATATAATTGGTTATCCGAAACATCGATCTTCCGAACAACCCAGTACCCAATTGATTCGGATAATCGACGCTCTACTGTACTTTATATCTAATTATTAAATTAGCCTTAGTATAGTCCAATAATACAATAGATCATTTGACATTATTTAAAAACCACACACACACACATACATACATACATATATATATTATTGTTTATATTCACTTATTAATAACTGGAAAATATTGTTCTCTAAATATAAACTAAAGCAATCATATATATATCCTTTATTTTGAAATTGTTGTTGTAAAAAAACCACACACACACACACACACACTGACAATTGCAACACTTCCACTTTCATAACTTAATGGTTCCTGGAAAAACTAGAAAATGAACTGAAATTTCTCTTCATAGGATCAACTTGCAAATAATTTTTGGTAGCACCATATCATGGCAAAAATGAATCTTTGTCTCATCAAAATTAACATAGTACAACAAACAATTTTATTTTGAAATGAAATGTTCATTTCAGTGTGTAAAAAAAGGAAAGTTGTGCGAGCCTTCCTTTTCTCCCAGATTAAAAAAAAAAAACATCCAAATAAAAAAAAATCCCAAAATGAAGCACTGAAAAACATTTCCTCTTTTCTGTGTACTCTCACTCAGCACTTGTATGTAAATCAAAAACACAACACCTTAATTTGCTGAGAATAGTAATTCGAAGTTAAGCTAAGTTTTTTTGATTGTGTTCGAAAAACTTAGCCTGATGATGGCCAACAGATTTGGCTGAAAACGTTAGCTTTTCATTAAAAGTTTTTCTCAGCAAATTAAGGTGTTGTGTTTTTGATTTACATACAAGTGCTGAGTGAGAGTACACAGAAAAGAGGAAATGTTTTTCAGTGCTTCATTTTGGGATTTTTTTTTATTTGGATGTTTTTTTTTTTTAATCTGGGAGAAAAGGAAGGCTCGCACAACTTTCCTTTTTTTACACACTGAAATGAACATTTCATTTCAAAATAAAATTGTTTGTTGTACTATGTTAATTTTGATGAGACAAAGATTCATTTTTGCCATGATATGGTGCTACCAAAAATTATTTGCAAGTTGATCCTATGAAGAGAAATTTCAGTTCATTTTCTAGTTTTTCCAGGAACCATTAAGTTATGAAAGTGGAAGTGTTGCAATTGTCAGTGTGTGTGTGTGTGTGTGTGGTTTTTTTACAACAACAATTTCAAAATAAAGGATATATATATGATTGCTTTAGTTTATATTTAGAGAACAAAATTTTTTATTTCAATTTAATTTTAAAATTTATTTTATTTTAAATAGGATTTAGTTGATGACTTGAATAGTGAATTATCTGGTAGATTTGAAGATGTTATTAATGCCTTAATGATGCCAGTTGTTGAATATATTGCCAAAGAATTGCGTCATGCCTTATCCGGTGCCGGAACTGATGAGGATGTCCTAATAGAAATTCTCTGTTCTAGTGAAAATAAAGAAATTCTTGCAATTAAAGAAGCTTATCAAACATGTATGTGTTTTTTTTTTGTTTTTTCCATAAATTGTTTATTTTTTTTTTTAAATTTATCTTTTTTATGTTCTAATTTCTTCTTTAAAATCAAATTCATCAGTATAAATTTAAAATTGTGTTTTTTAAAGAATAAGGAAGTTAGTGAATAAATTTAAATTTTATTTTTTTTTTTCTCATTAGTGTTTGATAGAAGTTTGGAAGATGATCTTGTGAGTGACACTTCTGGTGACTTCAGAAGATTGCTCGTATCAATGACTACTGTAAGTTTTTAATAATGTGTTTATTTTTTAAAATAGTTATAATTTTTTTTTTAAATTTGAAAAATAAAATATAATATATTAGGTTGGGGAAAAAGAAATCCATTATTTTTACGTTCATTTCAAGTCTTTATTTAACATGGTTCCGGTTGTTCGACTTGGATCAAATATGCACCGTTTTGTTTTATAATTTGTTGCCATTTTAAAGGTAACTTCATAATTCCTCTCTCGTAGAAGCCCTGGTCCCTATTGGCGAAAAACTTGACTAAGTGATTTTCNTAAGAAATTGGCATCAAGAGAGGATTGCGAAAATCACTTAGTCAAGTTTTTCGCCAATAGGGACCAGGGCTTCTACGAGAGAGGAATTATGAAGTTACCTTTAAAATGGCAACAAATTATAAAACAAAACGGTGCATATTTGATCCAAGTCGAACAACCGGAACCATGTTAAATAAAGACTTGAAATGAACGTAAAAATAATGGATTTCTTTTTCCCCAACCTAATATATTATATTTTATTTTTCAAATTTAAAAAAAAAATTATAACTATTTTAAAAAATAAACACATTATTAAAAACTTACAGTAGTCATTGATACGAGCAATCTTCTGAAGTCACCAGAAGTGTCACTCACAAGATCATCTTCCAAACTTCTATCAAACACTAATGAGAAAAAAAAAAATAAAATTTAAATTTATTCACTAACTTCCTTATTCTTTAAAAAACACAATTTTAAATTTATACTGATGAATTTGATTTTAAAGAAGAAATTAGAACATAAAAAAGATAAATTTAAAAAAAAAAATAAACAATTTATGGAAAAAACAAAAAAAAAACACATACATGTTTGATAAGCTTCTTTAATTGCAAGAATTTCTTTATTTTCACTAGAACAGAGAATTTCTATTAGGACATCCTCATCAGTTCCGGCACCGGATAAGGCATGACGCAATTCTTTGGCAATATATTCAACAACTGGCATCATTAAGGCATTAATAACATCTTCAAATCTACCAGATAATTCACTATTCAAGTCATCAACTAAATCCTATTTAAAATAAAATAAATTTTAAAATTAAATTGAAATAAAAAATTTTGTTCTCTAAATATAAACTAAAGCAATCATATATATATCCTTTATTTTGAAATTGTTGTTGTAAAAAAACCACACACACACACACACACACTGACAATTGCAACACTTCCACTTTCATAACTTAATGGTTCCTGGAAAAACTAGAAAATGAACTGAAATTTCTCTTCATAGGATCAACTTGCAAATAATTTTTGGTAGCACCATATCATGGCAAAAATGAATCTTTGTCTCATCAAAATTAACATAGTACAACAAACAATTTTATTTTGAAATGAAATGTTCATTTCAGTGTGTAAAAAAAGGAAAGTTGTGCGAGCCTTCCTTTTCTCCCAGATTAAAAAAAAAAAACATCCAAATAAAAAAAAATCCCAAAATGAAGCACTGAAAAACATTTCCTCTTTTCTGTGTACTCTCACTCAGCACTTGTATGTAAATCAAAAACACAACACCTTAATTTGCTGAGAAAAACGTTTAATGAAAAGCTAACGTTTTCAGCCAAATCTGTTGGCCATCATAAGGCTAAGTTTTTCGAACACAAACAAAATAGAACAAAAATTTTAAATACAAAAAATAAAATAACGAATAAAAATTATATATATATATGTATAAAGAAAAATAAAATGAAATAAAATGAAATAAAAAAACTCTTATTATAAAATATGTATATGAAAAATAAGCATAGGATAATTAAACATTATGCTAAATTCGATGAAACGCAAAGATATGATAAAAAAACACTAAAAACAAGGCATTAAGATCTGTCCAATCGCTTGATTAAGTACTTCCAAGCGGAAGGCAACCCTTCAGCGTCCCTAGAATTAATGCATGCATCATGCAATCTGCTCCTGTATATTTCAATCTTTTCGGCGCAAGTCGCCAAAGTCGGTGAATGTACTGGTTTAATAATACTTGCATCGTCCCACTTGACGATTGAGCCCTCAACTTGCGCCATTTGCGATATTATTGTGGCGTTAGATCCCTTACTGACATTGTATTTGTGTTCTTTCAATCAAGTTTAGGAGTCAGATTGAAAGAACACAAATACAATGTCAGTAAGGGATCTAACACCACAATACTATTGCAAATGGTGCAAGTTGAGGGCTCAATCGTCAAGTGGGACGATGCAAGTATTATTAAACCAGTACATTCACCGACTTTGGCAATTTGCGCCGAAAAGATTGAAATATACAGGAGCAGATTGCATGATGCATGCATTAATTCTAGGGACGCTGAAGGGTTGCCTTCCGCCTGGAAGTACTTAATCAAGCGATTGGACAGATCTTAATTAATGCCTTGTTTTTAGTGTTTTTTTATCATATCTTGCGTTTCATCGAATTTAGCATACTTAGCCTGATGATGGCCAACAGATTTGGCTGAAAACGTTAGCTTTTCATTAAAAGTTTTTCTCAGCAAATTAAGGTGTTGTGTTTTTGATTTCCTCTTTTCTAAAGATTTGCTAACCAATATGCACTACTATAAATAATTTTAAATTAAATTGAAACAAGAGTAGGATAAATAACTTTCAATTAAAAGGTTGAAAATTTTTTTAAGAAAAAGGAAGAAAATTTACTTTCATTTCCACAGTTAAGGAAGATTTACATTAGTCCACAATTAAAACAAATTTAATTAGCGATTCAACACATCCTTTCTTGTAATCCATGTTAATCAGGAGACCAAGACACTTAAATCAAGTTTTACTTTTTTTCTGCAATAAATTTTGAATTGATAGAAATTCAATCCCCTTCAGGCTACAGTTTTTTAAAAAGATTTTACATTTTTTGAGATTTGTATAACAAGGTTCTTTTTATGAATATTGAAATACATTAATTCAAAATGTTTTCTTTTGCTCTTCTGCCTCACATCTACAGTACTTTTAATAATAATGATATACCATAGGTACATTATAAATTTAAATATGGGAATGGAGATGACATAAATTCAAATATATTGCAATAATTCATTGTAACATTATATCTATAATTTGATATAAAAATATATAGCTATTTCAAAATATATATCTCTTTCTCTACACAGAATTCTTACATTATTTCTAATTAATAATAGGATTTTTTCACAACACAACACATTGCCCACAGTCTGATATTAATCTTGTTTCAAATGGTAAGAAAAATAAATGTATTACTGATGGAAATAGTGTAAGAATTCTTTTTAGAGAAAGATTTGAATCTTCTCAAATATTAAAAAAAAAAAATATTATTATTCAGTAAATTTTCGTCTGATGCAGAACTATTTGTTTAATAAAAATTACGACAGAAAAAATAAATGGTGATCTTTTTTGGCAGATTTTGTCTTTATTTTTATTAAAACATTATTATTGTGATAATTCATGTAAATGATGATGATGATATTATTAAGGGAATGAAGATCAATTTAGTTGACATATGGTATGATGTCAGTTAAGACGTATTGTAGACATGAAGCATAATAGAAAAAGAAATATATTAAAAACACATTAATTCAACAATCTTTCTCAAAAAAGATGAACAAAAAGATTTTTAAATTTTGAGATAATGTATTTTAAAAGACTGTAGCTTGAAGAATTTAATCAATCCAAAATTCATTGCTGAATAAAAAAGGTAAAACTCGATTTTAGTGGTCTTGGTCTCCGATTAATATGGATTACAAGAAAGAGCATTTGAATCACTAGGCCACTCAAGCAATCTGGGCATAGAAATTAAAGTCATAATTATGGGGCCTCTGACAATATTTGATATTAATATAAACCTCAATTTAAAAGAATATATGTTGTTCAAAACTGATTTAAGTCATAATAAGCTCACTTTATCCAGTAAGTTATGTATGTTTTTGAACTAGTTTAAAAAACAACACACATTTTTTTTTACACTATTATCTCAGAAAGCCATTGAAGAAAAAAAAACCTTGCATCACTGCTGTAGCCTGACATTTCATACAATCAACATTAGGTAATTTTATAAAAAAAATTAAATCCTAAAAAAATTACTTAACTTTTTAATTTTGTTGTAAAGGTTTCTCATTTTAAAAAAATGTTTAAAAACAGTAGAAGGCTACAACAATTAAATGTATTCAAAAGCTTTGATTTGTTTTTATCATTTGATAACTGCTGTAGAATGAAATTGGGATGTGCAATTTTGAATTAAAGTTGAGTTTATTGAAAAAAAAATGTATAAAAGCATATTAAAAAACCACATAATATATCCACAGAACAAGATGAAAGGTCTGATGAATACAAAAAAAACAGTAATTTTGAACTAGTGCAAGTCCTTAAATTGTGCAAAAACCTTTTCTGAATGAATTAGCTGCAAGTCAAATGGTACTTTTTATGATATATAAATAAGGAAAATTAAAAATACCTTTTGCTTATAAAGAGCAAAATTTAAACTTTTTCAAATTATTATTATAATACATAACATTACAACAAATCAACACATTTATAAATTCATTTAAGATGGCAGCTTAAACAATCACCATCACTACCACCACCAAAGCCAAATCGCTTTTTATCCAATTATTAAATTTGCCTTAACATAACAATTATTATTAAGTAATTTGCCAGTTATTTATCAGGCTATAACTGTTTTAAAACATGCATAAAAAGGATAGTATTGTCATAAGTTGTGTATATTCATAGATTTGTTATATCTCAAGTCAAAGATTTCCTGTATATATTACATAAATTTAAAAATATTTTCTAATAAAAACGTTTAAAAATCTTACCCTTCCAAACTGAGTTTTGTAAGCAACACTAATTTCTTGGCGTTGCTGATTTGTACGATGGGCTAATATATCAATGATTGCAGCTTCATCAGTGCCTATTTACAAAATAGATCATCACTTAATTAAGGCAATTTAATATATATTTTATAAAAAAAAATGAAATAAAAATTACCTAATCCTTTCATAGCACTTCTTAGTTGCTGGGCATCATCTTCTGGATTAAAAGGTTGATAATATTTAACAGTACCCTCAGGCTGTAATAAAATATTTTATTACCAAAAAAAAATCAATTTCCAGATCTTTACATACAATATATATCTAAATTAAAAACACAGAAAAACCTCAATTGTTAGTTCTAATAAAAATTACTTTTATAAATGAATAATAATCCAAAATAAAAATTTTCACAAGCTTGAAAGTCAAATTAGAAAGTCTTACACCATGATTATTTACTGCCAATACCTGATCATTCCTTAAGTTAAGCAATACAAATATTTTAGATAAATACATATAAGAAGCATAATCTTTCATCTAAATGAATTACACAGTAATGTTCCTAATGTTCACTTTTGAAACTATTACTAATTTCAAAAACCACCTCTCTCTCTTTTCTTTTTCTTTCTAGAAAAAGAAAAGAGAAAGGTATTTTGAAATATATATATAGAAGTTCTACTTTACTGCAAATAGAGTTGAAACTATTAACTACTAGCAGACCCCGCCACGCCTTGTTGTGGCTCAAAATGTATCTATTATAAATGTATAACACTTCCCCCCTGGGAGAAAATTTTTCGAAAAATCCCTTCTTAGTGTACATTCTGTTGACGTACTCTATTAAAACGCAATCAAAAACGCAAAAACCCGCATCTAAAATAGTATAATAGAAGCCAAGTTTTTCACAGTAAGCCTTAATCCTGTCCCTCTCCCTCGTGGGGGGAATATCGAAAAATCCCTTCTTACTGTACATTCTGTTGACGTACTCTATTAAAACGCAATAAATCAATGAATATTATACAACAAGAAATGTTACTGAATTAAGAATTTAAGAATAAATAAAATTTATAGGACTTGCACAACATGCAATTAAGTTAATTCAAAAATTAGATATTCAATAGTTCTACAATTTCTTGCAATTCAGAATGCTAACTACCCTTCTAATTATTATAAAATCAGTACAGGAATCAAGTGAACAACCAAAAGATAAAAACAAGACAAATTTTAATGTAGATGCCAACATATAAGTAATTATGCAAGTCAAAATACTTTGTATTTTAGAAGATAAAATAGTTAATACTATATTGATTTTAACTGTTATTTAATGTTTAAAATTTTTTCAGGAATTCAGACTAGGATTTGACACAATAAAAATCAGCATTGTAATCAGTGATCATATTTTTGAAATACAAAATTCAGTAAAATTACAATTATTTTACTGAATTCACTACTTCAAAAATCAATCATTTGTCCATAAATATTAGTAATAATCATAGCAGATCTTCAATTTTTGTTTTGTTGGAAAATAAATTTAAAATTGCCATCATTATTGCAAATTTTTTATAAATTTTGTAACCTTCCGCAATCTAAGATAAAAGTTGATTAAGTACAAAAAAAAAAACTTGATAAATCTATCAATATTATTGAAGTGAACACTTAAAATTATATGCATATATATTTTTAGTTCTAATAAATATATAAAAGTAATATATAATTAATTTCTTTTGTAAAAAGTAAAGAAATTTTACATTGAATTTAGATATTTACCATTTTTAATTTCCAACTTGGATAGGCTGAAGGATAATATCTCTGGAAAAGATACGGTACTCCAGGAGCCTGTAAAATAAAAATAATTCTAAATTTAACTTCATTCTTGGTAAAGAATATATATATATATATAGATCAAAAACAAATATCCATTGCAGTTTTGAGAAGAAAATTAAAACCTTTCATAACAAAAAAAAATTATTTTAATTGTGTTTGTTCAGGATTGAAATTTGTTAAATCCAAGCAGCTTAAAAGTAATTTAACCAATTCAATAAGATTTTGCACTAATAGCAACAGGTAGTAAAAACATCTTGTTCAAAAATTCAAGGTAAAATTACACTATACAAAACTTAAAAGATCTGAAAATTATTTTTAAAAAAAGTTATCTAAATTCATTGCCGCAAAAATACTTTATTGCCTGCACCTTTAAATTATGAAAATGGTTACTATGTTTTTTTTTAAAAAAAAGGCTTTCAGACTCCGATATTCTATTTTTCTTACTAATTAGAATTGTTTTTAAAAGCACTAAATCTAACACAAAGTCTTGCACTCACAGTTGCAAATTACTGGGTGTGTCAGTATTCAGTATCTAAATGAACATTTATTTTATCTTAACTGGTTACTTCAATATTTAAACTTAAATTAATTTTATTTAAAATATCAGAACTATAGCATCAAGAAAACTTTGACAAAAATGTTTTAAATACTGAAATTCTTCAGGTTTTTAAAATCATAACAAAATTATTGAAATGTTGTTAATCAAGAATAAAAACACTCAAAAACATCCAAAGTATTTTTCCATTTTAATTGTAACATGCTAAAAATGAGAAAAAGTATTTCTTATTTTTAATTCATGCAATTATAAAAATTCTTTTAATGAGAAATGATAATTGAGCTGAAGTTGTTCCATCATTTCTCATTAAAATAAAAAAAATTTTTTTTCTGTTATATGAAAAAAAAATTCATTTTTATATCAAGAAAATTCTAGTTAATTTTCTATTATGAAAGTTACCACCATTAATTCATTGTTTCACAACTTTTAATTAACAGTGATTGATGTTTTAAGCAGTGTAAAAACAAAATTTCTTCCTGTTTTACTTTGAAAAATTTAGTTATTTTGGGATATTACAAATTTTGATTACACAAAAAAAGATATCCTGTAATAATTGATATTTATGAATTTATATGAATCAAAATAGAAATAAAAATTTAGATAGTTTTAAAGAATTATTTTAAATGAAAAATTAGGGTAAATTTTATAAAGTTTTATTCACATGACCTATAAATCTGTAAAATACATTCATGACTCAAAGCTGTAGATTAACTTGATGGAAAAAGAAAAAAAAAAGTCGTGCAGCTATTATTTTACCCGTAAATTAATCTGTCCATATGGTAGAGTTTTAAATTGCATATAGTAATGGCTATTTATAAACGCTAAATTAAGCTACAATTACGGGTACCCTCAATATTTTTTAATGACACTAAGGAAATTTTCTCAAAGTATGTATGACCAAGCGGAGAAATCCAACTTAAAATAAACCCACGCGGATATTTCTCAAATGCATCACTTCCTCCTGCAGTCCAGCGAAAATCAGTGTCATTCAAGGGTGTGTAGATGTAAAACTGGCAAGCTGCCAAATCAACTGACCAATATTTCAAAAAAATAAAAAATTAAAAAGAATACGGTGCCAAATTTCGTGTAAGATAACTGACAGAATCTAAAAAAAATATAGTGATTTAGTACAAAAACAAAATTAAAAACAAACTGAATAAAAAATAGAAATGAAGGAAGTCCTATGTTCAAATTTAAATTTAGAGAATTCAGAAAAATGAGGGTGGAGAAGAGGTTGACGCCCGAAAAACTTTCAAAATCGTTTTAATTTTAATAATAATAGAGGGGGCACATTTTTAAACTATCAGATTATATTTTAGAACAAAAAAATTTAAAAAATACTTTAATTTTTTAGTACTAGATTTAATGTCAATTCAGCAGAAATAGAACAAACTATTTACATTTTCTGTTATAACGCAAGATTTATACTGAACACACTAATAATTAACCTTTTTTTATATGTGTGTGTGTATGTGTGTGTGTATTCTACGAATCAATTTACGTAATAGATTACATTTAACACTGAAATAAAAACGTTTCTGTGTCTCATGTCTACACCGGAAATGCTAACGAGACGAATTTTCAGACAAATATATAAACTTAAACTACATAAAATGCAACCTATTTAACAGTGATTAAACTAAAATTAGAAAACGACAAACCTCTTAATTTACTCCTAATCGGAAAACTGAACTCGGATGTCAAACTCGGAACTCACAAAACAAGTCCGTACTGCAAGCGAGTGTCTGCTTTTATCGAGAGAAAATGAGTCACGCCGAAACTGGGATGCGATCAACGTCGTGTGACGACGTGACGTCGCTTTACGTAACTTTTACAGCGCCAGAAAGTTTTCTATCGATTTTCATTTCCGGACGGAAGTTACTTAAATTGTCAAGAAAATAGGACACGTACCGAATCTTAAAGTAGTGAAGAAAATTCCGATACTAATGTATTTCATTATATGTAAATTAGCTAAAAATAAAATAAGAACGTATCCAAAAAGATTAAATGCTTAAAGAATTTTTTATTTAAATGTTTTACTAATAATCTATATCATTGCTTTACTATATACATTTTTTACTAACATATTAGTAACTTTATTACTTATAGCTGCGTCAACACAAACGTCATTTTCGTGATAACGTGTTTTAAAATAAGTATACTGTTCGCTTTTTACATCATAGAAAGAATTTAAACAGATGCTTTCTATCCTTTCTAAGATTTCAACAAAATTTAATTCAAGTTTTTGCATTGATTGCGAATACTGTATTCTCGACACACCCACCAATTACACATCAAGTTTACTCATACTTACTCTTTAATCTACTGACAGAAAAAAAGTTTAACTTTTTACCATTTACCTATTGAAAAATCCGTTTGACTATTTTTAATAAATATTTTAGTGTGCCGACGTCATTAAGTTTATACAATAGAAATTGTTGCGAGATGAAAGCTAAGTTCGCACGCCCACGATGTGATAATGAACTGTCGCCCACTTCGTCCTTTCTTAAAATTAATACTGATATAATAAAAAGTTCAAACGTGTTACAAACAATTCCCGGTGATGTAAACGTATAAAAATAAATAAATAAATAAAATTTATACGAGTTCAACTGCTTCCCAGCGAGTTTATCGACGTATTATGGCCAAATAAAATTCTTCCCGAGTGGTTTCATTAATTGTATGATCTAGTTTAGTCTCAAAACATTTTATTGTTAATAAAAAAAACTAGAATTGGTACGGTGTACCAATTAATATTTTCACAATAGGTACAGTTCTAATCTTATCCGCTATTATTCCTGTGAAATCTTTCGTCGCTATGATGATGTGTTTGACCTGTAAAAAATCAACCATGTTTCTTTGTTTATAAAAACGTATTTAACACTTCATAGCAGATACTTTATTAAAAGGATAAAACCGTAACTTATTGCTGATCGAGTAACTTTGTAAATACACAACAGAAAAATAAACCGAGTTTTACACTTATTCCTAAATAAATCGATTAAGCTTTAAATCAATATCTTTATATAATAATAGTCTTCCGCAGGAAGTTCTATTTCCGCAAACGCAAGCATCCCTTCACTTAAAAATTTTCGAACTAGTTTTCAAGGTGAACATTTCTTATACTTTTCCTTGTATACAGACGGGGGAATTCAGCTATTGTTTAAGTTATATATATGTTATAGGTCTCAGGTGTGCATATAAAACACGGAATAATACAGACAATATATCATTTTCTCCTGTAGGGAGTCTCCGAGGTGATGAATATTTTATAAACGAAAATCCATCCATTATCAATTATTCATCATCTCTTCTTTAGTAAATAATATATCGAGCAAATGTCAAAAGTAATTATATTAATGCATTTGCAAATGTAAATTGTGAAGAAACAATAGAGGATGGAAAGAAAACAGACTATCATAAAAATATACTAAAAACTAATAAAATAATTATTTTTCAATAATTTTTATTTAGTAGTAACAATTTCTAAATGAACAATTTTAAAAATAAAATACCGTATATATAAGTAAAACATTTATCTTTTCAAATAAACAATTTTTTTCAAAAAAATTACGTGAATAAATTTAAAATTAATATGATTTGTAATAGTTTTAAAGAATTATTTTAAATGAAAAATTAGGGTAAATTTTATAAAGTTTTATTCACATGACCTATAAATCTGTAAAATACATTCATGACTCAAAGCTGTAGATTAACTTGATGGAAAAAGAAAAAAAAAAGTCGTGCAGCTATTATTTTACCCGTAAATTAATCTGTCCATATGGTAGAGTTTTAAATTGCATATAGTAATGGCTATTTATAAACGCTAAATTAAGCTACAATTACGGGTACCCTCAATATTTTTTAATGACACTAAGGAAATTTTCTCAAAGTATGTATGACCAAGCGGAGAAATCCAACTTAAAATAAACCCACGCGGATATTTCTCAAATGCATCACTTCCTCCTGCAGTCCAGCGAAAATCAGTGTCATTCAAGGGTGTGTAGATGTAAAACTGGCAAGCTGCCAAATCAACTGACCAATATTTCAAAAAAATAAAAAATTAAAAAGAATACGGTGCCAAATTTCGTGTAAGATAACTGACAGAATCTAAAAAAAATATAGTGATTTAGTACAAAAACAAAATTAAAAACAAACTGAATAAAAAATAGAAATGAAGGAAGTCCTATGTTCAAATTTAAATTTAGAGAATTCAGAAAAATGAGGGTGGAGAAGAGGTTGACGCCCGAAAAACTTTCAAAATCGTTTTAATTTTAATAATAATAGAGGGGGCACATTTTTAAACTATCAGATTNTGAAGCTTGAAAATAATAATTTCTAATTTAGTAGATACTAAAAAATGCATTTCTGCACTGGATCAGTTCACTCTCCTTAGGCAATATATGACCAGTTTTCCATCATGTTGACCTTGGTGCAGACATTATCTAGTACAAAT